CTTTACTATGTGTGGGTTGATACTATACTGTGACCTTCACTGTGTGGGGGTTGATGCTATACTGTGACCTTCACTATGTGTGGGTTGATACTGTACTGTGACCTTCACTATGTGTGGGTTGATACTATGCTGTGACCTTCACTGCGTGTGGGTTGATACTGTGCTGTGACCTTCACTGTGTGTGGGTTGATACTATACTGTGAACTTCATTATGTGTGGGTTGATACTATACTGTGACCTTCACTATGTGTGGGTTGATACTATACTGTGACCTTCACTATGTGTGGGTGGATACTGTGCTGTGACCTTCACTGCGTGTGGGTTGATACTGTGCTGTGACCTTCACTGAGTGTGGGTTGATACTATACTGTGACTTTCATTAAGTGTGGGTTGATACTATACTGTGACCTTCACTATGTGTGGGTTGATACTATACTGTGACCTTCACTACCTGTGGGTTGACACTATGCTGTGACCTTCACTATGTGTGGGTGGATACTGTGCCGTGACCTTCACTATGTGTGGGTTGGTACTATGATGTGACCTTCACTATGTGTGGGTTGATACTATTATACTGTGACCTTCACTATGTGTGGGTTGATACTATGCTGTGACCCTCACTATGTGTGGGTTGAATCGTTGATACTATACTATGACCTTCACTATGTGTGGGTTGATACTATGCTGTGACCTTCACTATGTGTGGGTTGATATTATACTGTGAACTTCATTATGTGTGGGTTGATACTGTGCTGTGACCTTCACTGTGTGTGGGTTGATACTATGCTGTGAACTTCATTATGTGTGGGTTGATACTATACTGTGACCTTCACTATGTGTGGGTTGATACTATACTGTGACCTTCACTATGTGTGGGTTGATACTATGCTGTGACCTTCACTGTGTGAGGGTTGATGCTATGCTGTGACCTTCACTATGTGTGGGTTGATATTATACTGTGAACTTCATTATGTGTGGGTTGATACTATGATGTGACCTTCACTATTTTGTAATAACCTAACTCACCAAGCTGATTTAGTTTATTTTCCTCCAATAACCTGTTAATCAAACTATTAGCTTTTTCAATAGTACAGACAGCTACATCTAGTGAAGCAAATCCACCAGCAGGAGACATATTACCCATGTATCCTTCCACTCTAACACCACACTCTTCAAACATTCTCTGTTTAAAAACAAAGTAATAATACAGTTACAGTAGCAAATCAATTACAGGGAAAAACACAATGACAGGTACATTTTGTATATCAGAATTAATATTTGATTGTGAGGTAGCAGACGAAAAATCTAAAAGACTTCCATGTAATATTATTTGTTTTGGTATTTGGTGAAAAATGACTTGTGATAAACAAGTACCCTAGACAGAAGAATGTTCAGGTTAACAGTATTTTTCACGATCATTGATTAAGGTTGATCCATATTTTGACAAATATCGATACAAGCACTCTATGATAACTATCAGGGTTGATTTCTAATATAACAATAATGAATTCTCTCACCACATTGGATGAGGAATTGATACTACACAATAGGTCACACTCAGTGTAGAATCCAAATTCAACATGGCACTATGAGACCTTTATTGCTATTATGATATATTGGCAATCTGCTCCGCTAGGATTGCCATTAAAATCATTTTTGCGTGTGTGTGATTTTCTATGTCGTCTGTGATTTTTTTTGACCGGGCTGATTTTGCTATAACTTGGCAGGCAGGTCATACCGTCACTCTTGTTGGGTGGGAAAATTGAAAAAAACGTTGCATTGCATCAGCCATAAAACTAATTTTTGAATACTTTCGCCCAAATGTATTACTGCCTACCTGTCTTGTAATAGCAGTGTTCAAATGATCATGCTTTTTATTTTGGCTAAGTTGCACACTTACAAGAGATCACCGGCACTGACATTGTTACGCTGTATCAACGTAAGTTCCAACACAACTTTGAATGAAATGTAAATGCTGTGTTCAAACAAAGAATCTTGAAAATGCAATCGCAAAACAGTTAGAAAGAAAAAAAATAATTAATAACAGCAAAATATATGCTAGTAATAAAGTGACTTCTGAAGATTGATTGAATGCGTTTTGCAAATTTTGCATACAGGACCCTGGTTTTAGTTATAAACTGACATTTGCTTCATGTTCATGTCCTACCCTGGCAACAGCCAAAAACATGTTGCTTGTTTTTTGAGCGGAGCGGATCGTCAACCAGCCTACCAGCTTCTCATCAGTATGTATTACATGTATAGTGGTGTAATTGCCTTTTGGCTTTATTACAATATATTCGAAACCTGACTGGTGCATGGGGAAGTATGCAGAATTGAATGACATTGGCAAAAATTTGAAACATGCATATCGCTCTATGTTGACACATGCAAACAAACCAGACAGATGCCACACCAAGTGCATTATAAACAAATGTTTAATTCTGATACACGCTTTATGTGAAGTGCTTTGTTTGAGAGAGCTACCAGGGGTAGTTTATATTAATATGTTTTTATTTTTACATCACAAAGCCTGTAACACTGTGAAAGTTGCATGAATTTGACATCAGCCTACAGATTCTGTGTCAATATATAGCCATGATGTAATGCAAAGTATGCTATAATAGAAGATATAGAATACATAAATTAAGACACTGTAAAACACAAACTAGAAAGCACAATATGATCTTACCTGTAAATAAAACATTTTCTCTCGAGCAACAGAAACAAATGGTAAAATGACAATAGCTTTCTGTTTTGTTTCTAATACCCTCTTCAAAATTAGTAATTCAGCAACCATTGTTTTTCCTGCACTGGTTGGTGCTGAATACACTAGGTTACCGCCTGATAGCACCTTGCCTTGACTGAGACACTCTGCTTGCCAATCAAACATCTCAGTGATTTTGTTGTCATGGTAGCGTTGAAGTACACTCGAAGGCAAACCCCATGATGAAAGTAGTTTTCTGTTTGGTGTTGACTCAACAGGCGACTTTTGACAATCGGAATTGCTATTTTGTTGATTTATTGCACTTGTGCTAGCACCTGAAATAAATTGACAAAAGTTAAAGAGTGTGGCCTCTAAGCTGCACCATAGATGTACAACGATTTGCTATGTCACAAATACCGGTAGTTGTTCATAGGCACTGAAGATCATATACTGAACTACAGTTATGAAATTTGTAGTTTGATAAAATGAAATTTTATAAACAAGTTTAAATACAAAAGAAATCAGGGGCAATTTGTGTTGGTGACTCAAGTCCCCTATATAGTCACATAAAATTTTATTTTTTCCTGAAGACTGACCTCCCAAACAACTTTTGAATTTTGAAGCACACCATATCAACTCAGGATTCCTACAAAATAAGTGAATTGTCAGTCAAATTTACATTGACTATCATATTTACTCTATGAGAAGCACAAAACCAAACCCTTACATTTATAACAGATCATTAAAATGACATATTTTAACCTTTGAAAGTATTTTGACTTAAATCTGATAACTGAAAACTTTCATTGACCCAGGTCCAAAATCTCAGAGTTCACAAGTGCAACCAAACTATGTCTCATACATGTATACATGCTCAAGAAACTGCATTCATAAATCTAGTAATCATTGATGTACCTTTAATAACAACTTGTTAATTCATGTCTTTGTATATTACCAGGACCTGGGTTTGTTTCAGTATCACCACTATAATTCCCATCAAAAAGTAGCCCTGACACACCTCTACAGTTTCCACTGAGATTGGTAATGGTATGACCCATCTGTCACTGATTCAGATCAAGGTCATGACATCACTAAAAACCCTAGCATTACAATCTAAGCTAATCATTTATTCTGAGCATGCTCAGTTGTTCTCTCAGTGGAGTTGGGAGAGGTAGTTTTGGATAAAAATCATGAAAAGGACTTTCAGACCTGGAAAAAAAATGACATGCATATTCGGCAGAGACTTGTTCATCAACCTGCCAAGTTTCATTGATATTTTCTCAGAAATTCTGAGAAAATGTTAGAGACGTCACAGACGGAACTGAAAATAAGAATTAATAGTCCGCCTTTGAGGCTGCGTCTGAAACGGGGACAAATTAGAGTTGATGATGCATGCAGCCCACTTATTATAGTATAATATGAGGTTATTACGAGAATACCTCAAAGCATGCACAAAGACTGTACAGCTGAAGTATTAACTGATGTGCAGCGGAGGTCGATGCGACGGCGTACTGTCTGAGTGCATACTTTGAGGTATTCACGTAATAACCTTATTATTATACATCTTTTTCTTTCCAAGGATACACCATGGGAATGCCGAAATTCAAAATGTTTGGAACAGAATCAACAAACTTTGTGTGGAGTCTGGTCAAACTCTGGTGGCAGCCATGTTTGTTTTTATTTTATTATCATTCCAGATTTGGAATTTGCATTTCCTAATATGGTAGGATGAAAATACCCCCGTAAAATCCTGCAAAATTAAGGCACGCTGCAACTTATGACAGATGTATAATAATGTGTATGATGAACGTTACCTTGATTACATTTGACAGCACTTCCAGTGTTCTGCACAGCATCTACATTCTCCTTCACTCTATCATCCAACATTTCAGATTTCTTCCTTCTTGCATGTTTGTCTTGCTTCACAGTTTTGTTAACTTGTAGAGTATTATGAGGTAGTGGTTGTATATGGTGAGTTAATCCGTCTGGGCTCTGGGAATCCACACAATAAACTGTCCCATTCACGTTTGTTGGTGATTCATTCCCTAAGTTTGGAAGTATTCCTGAGAAAAGTTGTTTTGGGTTGACACAAAACAGTAAGTGTTCATCATCTGTATCTGTAACTTGAACATTATTTTTTGAAGTATTGCACATTTTTATATCTCTTTTCTTCATTTGCATTGAGTTTCTCAAATTTATTGTGTTTGTTTTGATTGTTTTTCCATCGTCAAGAGTCAATTGCTTTTGAATGATATTCGTAAAATTAGTAGTATTTGTTTTGATTTCATTACTAGTAAATGTAGTATCATCATCTTCAGTTACATCAGCTGTAACATGAGAGTCTCCAGCATCAGACTTCTGTATACAGCTGCTGATTTGTTTAATACCCTTACTTGTCTTTGAACTAGAATTTACGGGAGCTTGTGAGATTTTACCAGAAACTATGGATGCATTATGTTTCTGTCCAGTGATATATTCAGCCTCCAACTGCTCAGCAAGTAATAGCATATCATCATCAATATCAGATTCCATACTAGTAATAGATGTACAGCTAACAGACAACTTCCCTGGAGTTTCAGCTTTAGAAACCACTCCAGTGACGACACAGGAAGAATTTTCCTTATTTGTACATGGAGTAGAACAAGAGTTTGGAAAACATCTTGGTGCATTTTTTGTGCGAAGCCTAGGTGACCTCCTGGGTACTTCGAATAAACCAATCGATGCTGGTAAAACTCTCCTTTTTTTGTTGTCAATATCAATTTCTTTGTTTGTGGTAACAGAGGTTTTATCAGCATGAAAGATGGGACTATTAGCTTTTGAAACAAGAATTGTGTGCTGACCAAGTCGTTTTCTAGCATGAACACCTTTACAATTTCCAAGGTTTTCATCTTGTATACTGTTTCCTACAAGCAGAACAGGTTTCTGAGCAACAACAGTGGATGTGATTGGTTTGGAAAAACTACTACTACCTCCACTACTATCACTCTGAGACTTGAGGAATGTTGATTTACCAACATTGCCACCACATTGGGGCTTTTGCTGCCTCCAGGTTTGCGATATCTTCTTCATCTTGTCATTTTTCTTTTACTTTCTCCATTTCATCACACAGTTCTGATAAATAATTAGAATAAAATTAAAAGAATTGATTTACAATACAAATTTATTTATGACATCACACAACGATACGAAAACAAGCCATGCATGGCACAGTCCCTGTTAGTTATTAAATTTAAGATATATAGTTTTGTTTATAGTAATATAGTTGGAACATAAAAGATTTAACATTAAAATGACTGACATTCAGTCAAACAAACAAATTATTATTTAAAACAAAATGGCTACCAGTCAACAATTTTGAATCAGATAATTAAACCAATACATCTGTATATCTATGACATAATGTATAATGAATATTTAAACAATCAGATTTATTAAAACAAAATGGCTGCCATTCAGCCATTTTGAATCCGATCTGAAAAACAAAATAACCTGCATCAAGGTCCTATAATGTGCAATGTATGCACCACGTTTGAACAAAATCTATCCTTAAACAGCCGAGATTCAGTTCCGGAACGCCAGAAATGCTTGAAAAAGATGTGAACACATTACACATCACCAAATGTACATATATGTATATTATTATCACATTCTATATGACCTAGAATTGTCAAATACTATTGCTTGATTGAAAAAGTACATAAGAGACAGAAATATCTGATCAACTGAAACATTGCCATAGGGCACTGCTGGTGTGATTGCAAGATCATGAAATATTTATTTCCGGTTGCAACTTACACAAACGTAATTTTTCTAGTGAGTATTGGAGAGTGATAAAAAAGATATTAATCATCTAGTTGTCTAAAGATAATTGACATTGCATTTAGACAACTCAAGTCAGATAAACACAATTATGATAATCCTCTTTAATAATAATCCTCTTTTTGTAGACTGAGGTCTTTTGAAATACAAATAATATACAGCCCCGGGAATCAATGTAAGAATAACAGAAAAAACACAATTGAATTTTTACAAACAACTACTAGAACTAAACAAATTTGTGACAAACATTGCATGCAGAGCTGAAGTAGGAGAATTCCCACTCTTAGTAGACAAAAAATGATGAACAACATGAATTTTTCACGAGAACAACAGAATGATTTGTTAACAAAACATATACAGCAAATTGGCAAAGTTGTCAAACAAAAATACATAAATTTCTGGAGAAAAAATATAACTGAAAAAACAAACCTGAGAATTATGAAAAATTCAAAGACTCTTATAATTTTGAAAAATACTTGGATGTGTTGAATTTGAAGCAAAGAATTTCAATGACAAAATTTCGAACTAGTAATAACAATTTAGCAATAGAAAAAGGGAGGCATATGCAACCAAAAATACCTACTGAAAATAGAATTTGCAAACAATGTACACAGAATAAAATAGAAGATGAACTGCACTTTGTCATGATATGTCCACAATATAAAGTAATACGCCAACAAATCATTCAAGACATTACATTTCCA